TATATGTAACATGTTTGTATATAATTTTATCTTCAATCTATTTCAAACAGATTATATACATATAAATTTATTAAAACCTGTTAATGTGCTTTGGCAAAAAATGTAAGGTAATGTTAACAGAATTTTATGTTTATTGGATTCTTTGGTTTCAAAAAGCACTGTTCCACAAAAATGGTTCTATTTTATTAATAGCATTGCTCACAAAGATTCAGTGCTAAAAAAAATTTGGGAATTTGTTGGGAAGATGTTAGCAAATGTTTTTAGGTAGAAGTCCTCAGAGCCTTTAATCCACTAATATGCATTGTGAATCTCTAAAAGAAAGAGGTTCTTCATATTATTTACTTCAAAGTCTGTTATTTTCATCATGATTTACATTTATTTTACTTGTATAAACAAATTTGTGTAAACCTCATTTGCACTTGTTTACTAATTTATCTTCTCCACCGAACTATAAATTCTAACAGGACAGGTAAGTGTATCTCTCTTCTTCACTGTTGTTCCTAGTGCCTCAGCCAGGGCATACAGCAGGAGCTCAATAAATACTTTTGTAGTGAATGTATTACTTGGAGGAGTATCTTGAGGAACAAGGGCTTGAAGTTACACACTCTGGCAACTACGACTCTAAAGTTATTCAATTGTATAACAACTTCAAAGAAAAATTTGTGTTAAAACCTCTAGGCCAGCAGCAGAGTCAAGATGGCGGTGTGGGAAGACACGGAGTTGGCATCTCCCCACAATTAGGGTGCCTGCTGGCCAATGGTGGGAGACTCTGATGCCCAAGGAGATGGGAGGAACGTCCAAGTGAACCGGTAGGACGTAGGGGGACTGAGGGGTGAGGAGAAGTGTAGGTCAGACAGGATCGGTGCCTCTGAGGCAGGGGAGATCAGGAGAGGTAGGCAGGAGGCTCTCTCCAGGAAGAGCTGGAGAGGAGCGGAGGGCAATCGCCTGGCCCACTCGGGCCAGGGAGACTGCTGAGCTCCCAGGCCGGTCCCCTGCCCTCCAAAGCCCCCTCCAGGCCGAGTGGGTCCTGGGGGCATAGGAGGGAGGCCTGAGAGATCAGGAAAGGCAGGAGGGAGTAGAAATCTGAGAGGAGCAGGAGAGGAGCGGAAGGCGTTTGCTCCACCCACTCGAGCCCAGGAAGCCTGCTGGGCTCCCAGAGGAGGTCCTCCACCCTCTGAGACCAGGGGTGGGGGGCACGCCTGGGTCCCCTTCTGTTCCTTGAGCCTAAGCCCCACCCCCCCACAGCCCACAGGGCTGGAAAAGTCCTAAGCATAGGCCTCACCCTCCACAGCCAAGGCCATCCCCCCCCCTTTTTTTTCCTTTCTTTCTATTTTTTATTTTCTTTTCCCTCCTCTTTTTTACTATCGTGATACTGATGTACCTTCTGGTTGTTGATTCATCTATATTTTAATTTTATATTCTTTCTAACATATCTGTTAATTTCCTAGTCTAATTTTATGTTTTACTTTGTTACTGTTCTTTTCTTTTTTTCTTTGCTGCTCCACGTGGCTTGTGGGATCTTGGTTCATCATCTGGGGGTCCGGTTGAAGCTCCTGTGGTGGGAGCTACAAGTCCGAACCACTGGACTAACAGAGAACCTCAGACCCCAGGGAATATTCATTGGAGTGAGGTCTCACGGAGTTCCTCATCTCAGCACGAAGACCCAGCTCTACCCTACAAACTCCAGTGTTGGAAACCTCAGGCCAAACAACCAGTAAGACAGGAACACAATCCCACTCATTAAAAAAAAAAAAAAAAATGAGATGGCAAAAAAATATGTCACAAATGAAGGAGCAAGGTAAAAACCTACAAAACCAAATAAATGAAGAGGAAATAGGCAATCTACCTGAAAAAGAATTCAGAGTAATGACAGTAATGATTCAGAATATTGGAAATAGAATGGAGGCACGGATTGAGAAAACACAAGAAATGTTTAACAAATATCTAGAAGAAGTAAAGAACAAACAAACAGAGATGAACAACACAATAACTGAAATGAAAAATACACCAGAAGGAATCAATAACAGAATAACTGAGGCAGAAGAATGAATAAGTGAGCTGGAAGACAAAATGGTGGAACAACTGCTGAGGAGCAGAATAAAGAAAAAAGAACGAAAAGAATTTAAGACAATCTCAGAGACCTCTGGGACAACACTAAATGCACCAACATTCAAATTATAGGGGTTCCAGAAGAAGAAGAGAAAAAGAAAGGGACTGAGAAAGTATTTGAAGAGATTATAGTTGAAAACTTCCCTAACATGGAAAAGGAAATAGTCATCCAAGTCCAGGAAGCACAGAGAGTCCCATACAGGATAAACCCTAGGAAAAACACACCAAGACACACATTAATCAAACTAACAAAAATTAAATTGAAAGAAAAAATATTAAAAGCAGCAAGGGAACAAAAAATAACATACAAAGGAATCCCCATAAGGTTATCAGCTGATTTTTCAGCGGAAACTCTTCAGGCCAGAAGGGAGTGGCAGGATATACTTAAAGCGATGAAAGGGAAAAACCTACAACCAAGATTACTCTACCCAGCAAGGATCTCATTCAGATTCAATGGAGAAGTCAAAAGCTTTTCAGACAAGCAAAAGCTAAGAGAATTCAGCACCACCAAACCAGTGTTACAACAAATGCTAAAGAAATTGTCTAAGTGGGAAACATAAGAGAAGAAAAAGACCTACAAAAACAAACCCAAAACAATTAAGAAAATGGTAATAGGGACATACATATCGATAATAACCTTGAAAGTAAATGGATTAAATGCACCAACCAAAAGACACAGACTGGCTGAATGGATACATATGCCCTGAGAAAACCATAATTCAAAAAGAAACATGTACCACAATGTTCATTGCAGCACTATTTACAATAGTCAGGACATGGAAGCAACCTAAGTGTCCATCAACAGATGAATGGATAAAGAAGATGTGGCACATATATACAATGGAATATTACTCAGCCATAAAAAGAAATGAAATTGAGTTATTTGTAGTGAGGTGGATGGACCTAGAGTCTGTCATACAGAGTGAAGTAAGTCAGAAAGAGAAAAACAAATACCATATACTAACACATATATATGGAATCTAAAAAAAAAAAAAATGAAGAACATGGCGGGGGCTTCCCTGGTGGCGCAGTGGTTGAGAATCTGCCTGCTAATGCAGGGGACACGGGTTCGAGCCCTGGTCTGGGAAGATCCCACATGCCGCAGAGCAACTAGGCCTGTGAGCCACAACTACTGAGCCTG